TGCATGCTCGTCCCCGGCTCCGAGGGCCCGCAGCCCACCACTACCACCGCCACGCAACATTGACTTTCCACAGTTAGTTGCCTTTTTATTTACATAACTTACGTTCCGCCGCTACAAGCACCCGCCCCAGGCGCCGCCGCAAAAAAATAAAAACTCGCAGCAGTAAACCTTCCCACCTTGACCCCTTCCCCGTCCTCGTCCCCGTTCCTCTCCCTCACGTCTGCGACGCCTTTTCCATCTCCAACAGCTCATCCTCCCCCGCCGCCCTCTTCCTCGCCACGAGCCTCATCAGCCGCTGCTGGCTGGCCACGGCCACCCCCATCAGCCCCGCGCACACGAAGAACACCCGCCCGACGCTCATGTCCTGGTACAGCGCCAGCACCACAATCACGTTGAGCGGCACGCGGAAGAACGTCAGCAGCGCGCTGCGGCTCTCCTCGGGGACGTACGGCGCGCGCATGGTTGCCATGCCCGGAAAGTACACCCCGCACAGCAGCTCGAAGAGCAGGAAGCTGCCGTACACCACCTCGATGCGACGCGACAGCGCCGCCGCGAGGAAGAGCACCCCGCCGGTCAGGAACACGCTGCGCATCAGCGTCTCCACGCGCACGCAGCGCGAGGCGTACGCGAACACGTTGCTGCCGATCATCGTGGCCGCCATGAACGACGAGAACACCGTGCCGTGCGGGATCTCGCCCACCTGGCCCGCGGCCGTCTGCAGCGCCGGCGTCCACATGAACGTGAACGTGTACAGCGCGCCCTCGAACGCGGACTGCGACACGCCCAGTAGCAGGATCTTCTCGTCGCCCAGCAGGCTGCTCCACGCGCGCGCAAAGCCGCCCCTCACGCTCTGCCGCTCGTCGCCGTAGTTCTCAGTCCACGTCGCCGCCACCAGACCGAACAGAAGCGCAAGCACGCATACGGACAGGTCGAACGGCATCACCTTACCATACCGTAACGCGAGCCACCCAGACACCTGCCCGGCGACCATGGCGACTACGCCGTTCCAAAATTGCGCGCGCGCAAACGTCGAGGCGAGCAGTGCGGGGTGGAAGGCGCGCGCCGTGTGCTCGTATACCATCCAGCTCTCGAAGGCAGAGGAGAGGATGGAGTAGGCGACGCCGCCGAGGATGCGGCCGAACAGGAGGACATAGTAGTTTGGAGAGTGCTTGGTGAGGCACGAAGCGGCGTACAGGACGCAATACAGAAGGGCGTTGTTGCGGCGGCCGTAGCGGTCGGCGAGCGCTGCGACGACGGTGCCGAAGACGGCGGAGGAGGCAAAGCCCGCGATGTAGAGGCGGCCGATGTCGGACTTTGAAAATCCGTACTGCGCGTAGAGGGCGTATATATAGGGGCCTTGTAGCCAGTCTGCGGCGACAGCGAGGAGGTAGACGAGAAGGTAGTTTGCTTGGAAGTGGGCAAAGGGGCGGGCGTCCGTTGGAGAGGATTTGGGGGAAGCCGGGGGGCGGGCGACGAGGTAGGAGAGGAAGACGAGGGAGACGCTTATATGTAGAGCAGATTGGTACATGGCGGAGCGTTGATTCTCGGGTGAAGGGAGCGGCAGGTGCCGGGGAGAGAGGCGGGGTGCCAGGGGAAGAAGGAGGACGTCGATGGGCAGGAGGAGGGCGATTGAGGTGTGTCGGGTGTGGCTGATGTTTGGCATGACGTACAGGTGCAGTAGACGGTGGACACGTGTGCGCAGTGTTTACAATGCAGCCCATTCCGTCGCCTGAGAGAGTCGTGGTCCGGTGGTCCAGCGAAAGGTCACCGTCACTGTACGTCACTACGGTTTCGAGTTCCAAACCGCTCGGCCTTGCCGTCGCCTTTCCGTCGCCTTTCCGTCGCCTTTCCGTCGCCTGTCCGTCGCCTGTGTGGTAAAAGGGGGTGCCCCCCTGGCCAGGAGACGGGTGGAGAGGAATGTGCACAGTATATGCAGAAGCGATATCCAACAGCCTGTCCGTCGCGTTTCCGTCCCCCGACACTCTGCACCCCGTTCACCCCTCCGACTCGGCGACCTTTCCCTCCCCCCAGGCATTACTCTTATGCCTCGGCCTGAATTGAAAGTCGTCCGGCGCCTTCCCCAGCAAGATCTCCGTAATCTTAACCCAATCCGCACTGCGATGGCTCCCTAGCAGCGTCTCCAACTCGTCCCTCCCCCTGAAGAACGGCGCCCGGTGGCACATGCGCACCACAAAATCCGGCCGCTCCACCAGCCCCACGGGCACGTACCGATACAGAAACGACAGCCACTCGAGCATGAACTTGCGCGTCGTCCCTACCCCCTTCTCGTCCGCGCCCCAATGTTCCAGACCGTACCTTGCAAACTCCTTGTACAGCTCCAACCGCTCCCCCGACCGGATGTCCCAATCCCTCCGCTCCTTGATCTCCGTCAACAGCCACGGCTTGATCAGCGCCCCCCGCGCAACCATCACCGACTCCACCCCCGCCCCCGCATCCTCCCCGCCATCAAAGTACCGCACCGCATCCCGCCAATGATACACGTCGCCGTTCCCAAGCAGCGGGATCCCCGCCCGCTTTGCGGCTGGCGCGCACACGTCCGTGATGTACCCCCAATCCGCCAGCTTGGAGTAGCGCTGCTTCCTGGACCGCCCATGCACCGTGACCCAGCCCGCACCCGCTTCTGCCATATCGGCAATCACCTCATGCGCGTTCCGTGCCGCCTCGCCCACACCCGTCCGCACCTTGACCCCCAGCGGCACGTCCAGCACCGACTGCATGCACCACACCATCCTCTTTAACTTTGGGCGCCTCTTCATCAGCGCGCATCCCCCACCCTTGTTAAACACCACGTCAATCGGACAGCCAGAGTTGAGCTCCACGAAGTCCACCTCGCACTCCCGCCCCACCATCTCCGCCGCCCGCGTCATCGTATCCACATTCGACCCGGCCAGCTGCACGCCAAACAAATCCTCCTCCTTATGCCTCCGCAGCAGGGCCCACTCCGAGTTCTGCCCCTGCAGCAAGTTAGCCGCGAGCGCCATCTCCCCGCACGTAACATCCGCGCCCAGCCGCTTGCACACCCTGCGAAACGGCAAGTTCCCGACCGTCGTGAGCGGGGCGAGATAAACCTTACCTCTAAGGTCGACCTTCCTCTTCTCCTGGTCGGCGCTTGCGCCGAGGCAGTCGTGCCACGGGCGGCGCAGGACGTCTGCGCTGCGAGCAAACTCGACGTCTCTCTTGCGCAGCCTCTTCCGGAGGCCAAACTCTAGAAAGTTCGTCTGTGCGGCGCGGTCGCGGTCAGCGCGCAGGCGGGCGCACGTGTCGGCGGGGCGTGGCTCGCGCACGACGGCCTCGCGCGCGGCGAGGTCGGGGAGGAAGCGCGGCGAGTAGAGCGGGACGCCTTCGTCGTCGAGCGAGAGCGATCCGTCGGGGGCGCGCACGGCGCGCAGGATGTGGGCGGGCTTGAGCGGGGCGTCGACGACGGGCGCGGCGCGGCGCGACTCGCGCGCCGGCGGCGGGATCACGGGCGTCGACGGCATGTGCGGGACGACACGCGAGACGTTTGCGTCCTCGAGCTG